AGGGATGGAAAAACACATGAGAACCACCGCTGGAGAACTGTTGTTAAACTTTTACCAGAACATTTCCAATGAAATGGTTCATCTCAGCGCGGAGTATTTTACCAACGAGGCGTGGAGGATGATTCCCCGGGGCAAATTTAAATCAAAAAATGGAATAAGCACTAAGCCACTAATTCACTAACGGAATTTTCAGAACATGTTGATAAACTTGATCTCCAGGTCATTCAAATCTGAAGTTGGATGTTATGAGTTCTGTTGTGGGGCGCAAAGAAGTCCCATGGCAAGCGTTTTTGCCTGACGTATTGTGAGAACGGATGTGAATCATCAATTTTTCCTTATCTAGTGGGAAACGAACAGTATTAGCACCTCATCTTTAGAAACCAATACATCACCCACACTTGGATTCAGCACACATATTGTTCGCGCAGGTTTACGGCAGAAGAGAGATACCGCATGACATGACACACACGCACACACACAATGCCAGGTGTCGAACTAGAAAGAACACGTCCCTTTTTCACAAAGTGGGCAAAAATTATGGACCCCTTCTGAAAATATGGTCTGACATTCAAAACCACTGAAGTGGTCCTCTCAAAAAAACATGCCGGCAACCAAACATAAACTACTACGGGGTCATGAAAGACATCATCCCACCATTAAAGTTACTAGCGAACACCTGGGATGTACCCATTATTTGATGATTAAATTCCGTATTATTAATTTAATGGTCGATATTCGTGATGTTTCTTCCATTTCAGACTGGTTAAACGGTTAAACCATGTAAAACCCCAGTTTTTGGCACAGGATTGCCATGCACTGTGCTGTGGATGGCTATATAGAAATGCGTCGAAACCAGCGGCATTGCTGGCGACAAGATCCACGAAGCACGGCGCACGGTGTGGCACTGAATTCTGTGCACAAATTCGCACGGGCAAAATGCTGGTCCGATCGAATCTCCCGGAATGGTCCTGCATAAAACATGTATGTACATGAATGTCTATGTCTATGCCTAGGCAAAATTTTAGGTACAGTGAGACCATTGTTTAAGAACCTACCTGCAATAAGAACTTCAGAGGCTGGATTGCTGGATTCAACCCTGCTGTCAGCTAATTGAAATAAGAACCCTAGGTTACCCTGGAATTCTAGCCACTGGTTCTTATTCCCCTTTACCGGGTATCAAAATACCAAACATTGATTATAGCAGCTGTTTCCCACAAGAAAGATTATGTACGGCGGAACTCCATGCCGAGGACAAACATGGTGCGGCCCCAGCCACCAAGGCTGATGTCGACAGCTTCAGCCAGACACAAGCCAGACTCACTGGAGGTCATCTGACCTCGGAGGCTGCCCTTGGCTTGTCTTGGCTTGTCTTGCCTGTGCTGCCTTGTTTCGGGCGCCCAAATTAAAAACAAACTTTCGGGACCAGAAATGTTTTTTCTTTCCCCCCCGCCTCCTTTGCAACCTAATACCACGCCAAAATAAACTTTCAAGCCCTGGCATGGTGGAATATGTGGCCTATAGCTCTGTTTGGAATACCTGCGTCTGAAAAAACTTTTCGGGACCTATTTTTTGTTCCTCCCTCTGCCTCCTTTGCAACCTAATACCACGCCAAAATGAATTGGAAAAACCCTCAGCATATGAACCCCTTAAGAACTAACCCATTAAGAACTTGAGGGTAACCTCGTTCATAATTCCCATATTTTCCACCTATTGCACTTAAGAACCCCAGGGTAGGCTGGAAATTCTTAAACAGTTGTTATCTAACGGTTCCGCTGTAGATGTAAATGCTATACATATGTGTGTATATATATATGTGTACATATATATATATATGTCTATATATATATATGTGTCTATCTATATATATATGTGAGTCTATATATATATATGTCTATATATATATATATGTGTATATATATATATATGTGTGAGTCTATATATATATGCGTAAGATATATTCTAGATACATCTATATACACAAAGTCTACCGTGTGTATGTTTCTGCGGACACATGTATATATATATATATGTGTACATATATATAATTGTATAATTGTAAAAAAATCCTAGGTTAATGTTGTGAACTCGCAAATACAGATCTTTGTTTGCCGGATGGTTTAGATGGCATCGTTGTACTGCATGGTTGCTAAGTGTGATGCTTTGTGTGTCCCACTGTAATGACCAAATACATGCAATACGAGAGGTGCGCCACTGCAATTTCAGATAACATCCTCGAAACCTTTCATAACATCACTCTGTTGACAGCATGACCAGGTAAGCTGTATCCCGGATAAAAGGGGTTGTCTGAAACATGATTGGGGGTTAATCCGCTATTTTCAACTAAAAACCCGGGGGTTTTGAAGTTTCGCTGATCCCCCAAAGAAGGCACAATAATAAGCACATCACGTAAAACACGTAGGCGCGAAAGAACGAAACAAATTCTTATAGCAGTCTTGTAAACTTTTCCCTGGTTACTGTGCTATTGTAATCTGTAGAGTGTGGAGTGGGAGAGTGCAGAGTGTGGAGCGTGAAGTGTCGGGTATGGGCTGTAGAGTGTGGAGCGTGGACTGTGGAGTGTGTAGTGCAGAATGCGGAGTCCAAAGTGAGGAGTGTGAATTATGCAGTGTGAGGTGGGGACTGTATGTAGGGCGTGGTGTGGAGTGTAAAGTTATGTTTATCTCAGGTAGCCAAGGATTGGAAATCACGGTTTTTATTCATCATGTTTCATGTTGATTATCATGTCTTGGCTAAAAGATTATCATTCCCTTTTTACCACATTGAATCCCGCTGACCATTTTCATCAACTCTACATTCCAGTTTTATGTCCTTAGCATGTTCATATATGTTCATTATATAATTTGTTGCTTTCCTGTCATGTGAGCGACATGACAAAGTCCAACATGATGTCAAAGCCCAGGTGAAAAATGAAAGAAACAAATGGATCACCAGCACCAAAACTGAAAAAATGAAGGGGGTCACCAGCACCAAAGATTTACGCAAAGGTGACAATTTCAAAGGCAATGAATGTCCAAATGGAAAATGACAAGAGAAGATATAACACAAACAATGATAAAACGCAAAAGACAACTGATAAAAAAACAAACAAAAATAAGAAAAGGACAGCATGAAAAGGATTCAAGCAGATCCACCAAGATCGATTGCTAGACTGCCTGCTGTATGCAAAGGGATTGTCCCCAGGTCATGAAATGGGAAGCCATTTTCTCGAAACATTCTTACTAGGATGTTCTTTGTTGTGCGCTTTTGCACTGCCAAAGGATGTTGATTTCACATGATTTCAATGGAAAAAAAAACTGCCACCAAGATTCTGCTGGGGAAGCGTTTGATTTTTCCTGAACAAACAACCTTTGTTTGGGAGCCTGGCTTCGTTTCAGATATTGGACCGCTTTCAATCCGATGTTTTTCCGCCCATCATGAAAGTTGAGGCTGGACCTTTTGGGGTAAATTCCCAAATGCCGATGAAAACATGGTTAATGTCCTGGATTTACTGGCCTCCCTTTAAGGCAGCAAATAAGACATAGCAATACTACAATACTATGAACAAACATGTATAATCCATTGTCTCAATTGAGTGGCCGGGATCTCCCACGCTTTATATAGCCACTATTAAGCATCAACATGATGACATGACCATTCATTGTGGAGCCATAAGCCCATAGGTAACGTTGGTAGTGATCCGTTGGGATGTCACGAGCGCCACGCCTGCCACAGAAAACGACATTACACGGTGGTGCTCATTGCGGACGGTTGCAAATGTTTGCGCGGACGGTATACACCTCCACCCCCAGACCCCCAAAATTGCACTGGATCCCTTCGCTACGCATTTGGGAAGAAAAGTAAAGAACATGGTTTGAGGTACTGTATCTTAATGTAGGTTTCCCATTTTTTAGACATCTATCATCTATCTGTCAAAATGATGATTGTCTTTTGACTTTTGCCAGGTTGGATATCTTAGACAGCTGCGGCACACAACCATCCTGCCCGCGGTGCCTGTGGGGTTACCCAAGTTGTTTGGGCCCCATCATTGGAAAAGCGCTGTCCATGAAAACGGAGATGGTGCGTTTTCATTTGTTCCTGTCCCGTGAGATCCCAACTCCCGTTTTCAACCACATTTCTTACCACAGCTACCATTGAAAGCTTCTCTTTTAATGGGATACCCATGGATACCCGCCATTCCAACTTATGGCAAAGACAAAGGTCAATCAATCATTCCCCTACAACTGTGGATCGAAGAAATCCTGCACCAGTTGGTAACTACTGGTAAGTTATTAAGTGTGAAACACAAATAATGGGATTCGAACGGGTGAAACCGCCAACAGGTGCAGGATTTCGCAACCATCACCTTGGTTTAGGCTTGGATCTTGAGATATTTCGGGTTACCGGAGAGATTTCATATGGGGGAAGGATGAGCTGTGAGCTAAGTATCATATTGTTGCTTAATGTTGCTTATATTCCCATCCACACTATTCTTTTTTCCCCCACAATTGCATATAATTCCCACAGCAGATAGGCAACCATTGATGGCGCCCATTGAACGGTTTCCCTCATTGATCCCTGTCGCAGTCCCCATCCTTAAGATACAACCCCATGATATCCCCATTGTACCAAGCATAATCCAACTATTTCACCAATAAATCACCATTATTTATATATATATATATACATACACCCACATTTGTTGGTTAAATCCAATTGTTCAGTGGTTGAATTCCTACAAGGTGGGTCTCATTAATAAATAAGTTGGTTTGCAAACCCATTAACAGTCATTAACTATACTTGCCATAGTTATATCTACCATAAACCCTAGGTATGTGAGTCATAAACTACCGTAGCTATCATTAACGATAGATACTGTAGATATATCTACCAATATCTACCATAAACCCTAGTTACATTTGACTTAGCTATCTCGGAGGCCCCACCTTCTATCTTTTCAGCACATCTCTGTTGACATCTCCTGAAACTCAACACAGCTGTAGCCATCAGCTGTCAGTCTCATTACAGCACTCCAAGTAGATCTCATCCTAGGCGCTGGGCCGTTCCCTGATTTCATCAACAAAGAGAGTGATTTTACCAGCAGACATGGTAATTAAACCAGCAAAAACAGGGATAAACCAGCTCCGTTGGAGTGATTCAACCAAGAAAAATTGGGATGTAACATGATTTAACCAACAAACATGTTGCAAAAATGTGGGATATACTTGGCAATGATGTTGGGCCCAGACCGAAATTCCTGTCACGCTTGTCACTTCTAAATCCACAGCCTCCACAAGCACCGAAGGTGCTGTCATACGTTTCAAGAATTTTAAGATCAGTTTATCGTGTGGCAAACATCATAATATATCACATGATATTAGTACGTGAGGCGAAACTTGCCATTGATGATCATCTTTCATAAATCCGTTTAATAGTTTTCCACTATAGTTCTAGTTCTATAGTCATCCACTAAATCGTTTTCCACTATTAATATAACAATTTGCAACTATTAGTAATATAGTTAGACATAAAATCCTAGTCCTAGTTTTCCCAATCGGATAGCCATTGGCTCAAATTCTCTAGACAGAATCTTTTTTGCTAATTGGCTCAGGGGATTGCAAAAAAAAATGCCCGGTCATGAAAGAGCTACGCACTACGCGAAACTTTAGGGCTATCCTCTACCGTTTGGATAAGTTTGGTACAAAAAAATATCACTACTAAGTACTACTACTAAACTAGATACTATCAGTACTATCACAAATCATCACTACTACAGTAAGTACTACAACAAATTATCACTATCAAAGGTTTGAGTAGATGACACTGTTTGAGAAACCCCAAGATTCGGTTTCGAATTCAGCTGTTTCCAAGAATCGATTGTAGGGCAGCACGCAGCGCCCTCGTCCAAATCCAATTCCACACACTGTGGATGTGACGAGCAGAAACGACTCCTTTTTTTCGGCCAAGGCCAGATGGGATGCTACTGGGCAATTTGTGGAGTTATAGGTTATTCTTTTGGGTTCCCTGAAATGGGGGTACCCCTAAATCATCAGTTTACTTTAGGATTCTTCATTATAAACCATTCCTTTTGGGGTACCCCCCTCTTGTGGAAACCTCCATGTTTATGTTAGGTGTTCACCAAAGACTAGGAAAGGATGAAATGAAAATCCAGCCGGTGGCGGTTGGGAGCATGTTTCTCGCTGCAACCCTATGACACCTGGAATGTCCGATAAATCCTTTGGTTTCTCGGGCAGGCGGCAAGGCAACATGTCCAATCTCAGATGCCCTCCCAAAAAAATACAACATTTTCAGCCGATTAGTCTATTCTCCAGTTGATAGCAACAAGAGTAACCGATCTTAACATGCTCAAACAAAGGTTTACCCCAAAAATGCCCTGCACTAAATGCATTCACTGCTGAACATCTAACCTTACCAAAACTCTAATATGTTTCACAGGAAAGCAAGTTGAACAATGTAGAGGAATGTAGAGGATGTTGCATCATTTCGGCGGGTAAGCCTCCATTCTTTGCCAGTCACATCTCCATTTTCTGCATCTGGATAAATAAATTTTAAAAATCACTATATATATATATATTTCCAGTATATATCTGGGGATTTCATCAACAACCATTTACCATACATATATATATATATATGTACTGTCTGATTAGCTCGGCCATCTGGGGATGATGTCCCCATACATTCACCATCATTCCAGTGAGGTCGCAGGGTCATGATGAAATTTACTGTACCCAGACTGCATTAAGTTATTTGATGTTATTTGTATATCCCATTCTATGTTATATGTAATATATATATATATAATATATATATATAATTATATAATATATATATATATTAAATATATATATTTATTTATATTATATATAGAGTTTTTTTAAACAAAATATATATTATATACTTATTACATCCCTTATTTCGGATAGTTCATTTTCCCATTGTATTACTATTCATGGCTAGATGTATTGGATATTATCCCATTATTGGTATTTATCCCTCTATTATTTCTAGTTAAATCCCATTATGGGTTATTACCCTCTGGTAATTTAACATAACTATGGAAAATCACCATTTATAGTGGATTTTCCCATGAAAATGGTGATTTTCCATAGTTATGTTAGTTTACCAGAGGGTAGTTAAATCCCATTATGGGTTATTTATCCCATTATTAAGCTGCAGTCTCAGGCTCTCGGCCAGCTTGTTCTGCTGCGGTACCACGATGCCCCTGCAACACGGATGTCGTGGACCTGCATCCGTCCGGAATCGACTGGAATATAGGGATACCGTGGATCGGCCACGTATGGGGATATATAAGTTCCAGGGGAATATACAGGGAATATATATATATATATATATATGTATAGTTGGGATTCAACCACAGGGATATATTAAAACTAGACGACAGATGGCCCGAGAGCGTAGAGGAGCAGGGTCTTCTCTTGTTAGTATGGAGGCACCATATTGGAAACAATATATTAAAGATGTGTTATATGCAGTCGAGAAGAGGAGTATTAAGACAAATTTGCAGAAGTGCAAGACAATAGTTTGCATCGCAAACACTTTTACACACAAAAGCTTTTACACACAGATGCTTTTACATACAGACCCTTTTACGCACAGACCCTTTTACACACAAAGCTTTTACCCACAGAAGCTTTTACATACAGAAGCTTTTACACACATACGCTTTCACACAGATGCTGTTACACACAGACACTTTTACACAGACACTTTTACACACAAAGCTTTTACCCACAGAAGCTTTTACATACAGAAGCTTTTACACACATACGCTTTTACACAGATGCTTTTACACACAGACACTTTTACACACAGACACTTTTACACACAGACACTTTTAACAAAGAGCCTTTTACACACAGGAGCTTTTACACACAGAAGTCACAGAAGCATTTACACGCAGACTCTTTTACACACAGACACTTTTACACAGATGCACTTTTACACACAAACATCTTTACACAGCCCTCTTACACACAAACCCGTTTACACAGAAACACTTTTACACACAGAAGCTTTTACACACAGACACTTTTACACAGATGCACTTTTACACACAAACACTTTTACACACAAACATCTTTACACAAAAACACTTTTACACACAAACACTTTTACACACAAACATCTTTACACAGAAACACTCTTACACACAAACCCGTTTACACACAAAGACTTTTACACACAGAAGCTTATACACACACATTGCCGCTGTCACACAGAAACACCTTTTACACAGAAACCCTTCTGCACTCAAGCCCCTTTACGCAGAGACGCTTTAACACACAAACCCTTTTACACACAGACACTTTTACACACAAAAGCTTTTACACACAAACCCTTTTACACAGATTCACTTTTACACACAAACACTTTTACACACGAACATCTTTACACAGAAACACTCTTACACACAAACCCGTTTACACACAAAGATTTTTACACACAGAAGCTTTTACACACAGACACTTTTACACAGATGCTCCGGGACAAGTAAAATCGCAATTTTTCCTCAGTTTTTGACGATCAACCCTCATTTCGTGCGAAAGGGTTGCTCCGGGACAAGTAAAATCGCAATTTTTCCTCAGTTTTTGACGATCAACACTCATTTCGTGCGAAAGGGTTGCTCCGGGACAAGTAAAATCGCAATTTTTCCTCAGTTTTTGCCGATCGACCCTCATTTCGTGTGAAAGGGTTGCTCCGGCACAAGTAAAATCACAATTTTTCCTCAGTTTTCGCCGATCGACCCTCATTTCGTGCGAAAGGGTTCACGTTTCGTGACTCCCCGCCGGCACCACCCTCGGCCTAAAGAGAGAAAGATAAAGAAGGCGAGAGAGAGAAAAGGGAGAGAGAAAGGAGAGAGAGGAAGGAGAGAGGAAAGAGGAGAGAGAGAGAGAGAGAAAGAGAAGGTGTGAGTATGTGAAGATAGAGATGCGAAGATGAGCAGATGTGAAGATGAGAAGATGTGAAGATAAGAAGATGTGAAGATGAGCAGATGTGAAGATGAGCAGATGTGAAGATGAGAAGATGTGAAGATGAGAAGATTGAAGATGTGAAGATGAGAAGGTGTGAAGATGAGCAGATGTGAAGATGAGAAGATGTGAGAGGTGTGAAGATGAGCAGATGTGAAGATGAGAAGACGTGAGAGAAGGTGTGAAGATGAGAAGATGAGATACAGACCCCCACTATTGGAAGAACCCTGCGCTCAGACGCTCTCGGGAAAAAAAAAACTATATCAAAATGTGGCAAAATGTGGATGTAACCAACACAAATGATTATTTAATATCATTTAATGGGATTTGATGGGAATATCATGAAATTTATAAGCTACTTGACCCGTCTACTTGAGGGTTCACCGCCAATTACAAGTGGGTTACAACGCCAATTACATAATACATAATACTATATAGCCAATTCAGTAGGGTATCTAAGTGGAGGTTAGTCCAGTCAAAACTGGGCGTACCAGCCACTTGCTACGGCGGTGAACCACCAACTAAACACAATAACCACTTAAAAACCCTTTGTGCACATATATATATACTTGGTCCATGTTCAATGTTCAACCCCAAAGCTGGGCTTTAGTTCCTTTGAATTTTGAGTATTCTCCAAAAGATAGTAGACATTCCCAAACATCGATCCAATATAATGTATATATATATATAATTATGTATAATCATCCTGAAGTGGACAGAATATGGCGTTTCCAAACATGCTCCTTTGTTGCTGAGGATTTTCTGAAATGTCCGTAGGCTATTTTCTCCAGGACGACAACTTGTATAAACTTGTGATATACCGGGTAAACGAACATAACTATTGAAATCACCATTTGAAATCATTTTTATAGCTAATTCATCCTAAATCATCGAACTCAATCTGGTTGGTGGTTTTTCGCCACCCCTCTGAAAAATCATGGAGTTCGGACCAGTTGGGGTTATGAAATTCCCAATAATTCCCAATATGTGAAAAAAACAATCCATTCATGTTCCAGTCACCACCAACCAAATCATGATATCCCCATTAGATCACTCAAATCCCCACTATAAATGGCCACACCAAGTTGTGTTTTTATTCTCCCATCGTCCCAATGGTCCATCCATACCATACCCGGCCTGGTAAACGTTTACATAACTATGGAAAATCACCATGTTCAATGGGAAAATCCACTATAAATAGCCATTTTCAATAGCTATGTTAATTTACCAGAGGGTAGCTGCCATAGCTATGTTCGGGAGGATCCCGCTTCCGGGCCTTCGGTAGGGCAGCACGTGCCCACGAGGCCGCTGTCCACGCAGGCCTGATAGGCCTCCGAAACTCCAACGCTTGCGCGGCGCGCGGCTGTGGAGAAATGGTGCTTTTTTTTCGCTGCAAAATATGGGGGAAAAACCATAGGAAAACCATAGGAAAATGGTGATTTCAATGGGGACTTGAGCTCATTCAATGGATTGGTTTAAGGGAAAATTGAAACCGGAACGCCGTACATTTCATGGGAAAATCGATGGTTGCCGGTGTAGATTTTCCCGTCAAAACCAATCTACGTATTGAGCTCATTGAAGCAATAGACAGATGCTGATACTGGTCAATCAATGTTAATCATGGATAATTTAGGGAAAATGATTGGGATAATAAGAGAATTCAGCCTCCGGTTCTCAAACGTATCAATTGAACATCCCCGATTTATAGATGATTTTTCCCAGGCATAAACCTCCGTTTGAAGGGAATTTGCGTTGCCATCTTACCGGAGGGTACCCAACAAAGAAATATCAACATGGTGGACTTCCATTGTTTTTTTGAAGCCTCATTGGACTTGATCAACAACGTGGAGTAAAGGCGATTTGCCCCACAAATGTGTGTTGTTTGTTTCATTTTAACAGCAAAAACCAGGACTTATGTGTTCAATCTCACCAGTGAACATGGGAAAGTCAAATCAAATTACAACTACAGACCTTATGATCAAATGTATTACTTAAAGATACTTAAAGGATCATCAGATAGTTTCAGCATGTCACTCGGCGCCAAAACCTCATGATACTGGTAAACACAAATAAGCTGAACAGGGTGTGTTGGCACATAACTTGTTTTTCTTCTGAATGATACTGGTTGGTGGTTTGAACAATCATCTTGAAAAATGATGGAGTTCGTCAATGGGTTTCGGATGACATCCCATATATGACATGGAAAATAATCCATTCATGTTCCAAACCACCAACCAGATCAGGTCTTCCTAAGCAAACGACCACTGGTGACCAACAGCCCCCGTTTCCTCAATGGATCCTCCACATATTCGTATCATAACGGCGGGTTTTCTTAAGGGAAAATCTTCACCGGAAACCCATGGGTTTTTACCATCAAATATAGGGCTTAAACCAGTAAATGGGCTTTCCGGTTAAAATTTTCCCATCATCCAATTCTATGATCGTATGTCCTCTTGGTAAACCCACCTGTAACTGAATGGGCAGTTTGATGTGCATTGACTACCGAGGCACATTTGACATAGAACAAATACCATTTGTGCATATTTGTTCTAAATATCTTGAAGCTAACCTTGTCCAAATTCCCAGTGTTACGGAATATAAAACTGCATATATCTCATTTTATTATTCATCCATGGTCAAACATGTCTCTTGGATTGGCTAAGGATGGCCCAAAAAAGAAAAGCAGACTCCCAGTAGATTCCCCAAATAGGGGGATTCTCCAATGGAGAAATCGAAAATGAACTGCAGCAAATCCAAGATGCTAAGCTCTCAACCACATCACCCCCCAGTGTGACGGAATAGAAAATCTCATATGACTCATAGGCTAAACCAAAAGAACAAAGCAAGTTTACTGAGTTTACTGCCACACTCTACTTGCTGGTTCACCCCAGGAATCGTAAGTGGGTTGTCCCGATAACTGGACTAAGCCTACATAGCCTACTAACATCACTGGGGTGAGCGAAATCACTTAGGATTTAGGATGTGAACCACCAAGTACTTGGGAGTGCAATTCCATTCAGAAGTGGCTGCATAACAATATTATACCATATGAAATACCCCAGTTATATGTGGGATATCCCCAGTTATATAGGGCTTATAATCCACTTACCAACTGATTTATGGCTTTTCACCACCATTTTCATGGATAAGACATTACCATAATTCATCGATAAGTACAGATTATTGCTGGATCTTGACATAGATTAACCACAATTTTTTCATGGGTTTTCCCGTGGGTTTTCCCCCGGCTCCTAGGAAAACCCACGGCGAAGCGCCGCGAGCTTCGCCTCGCAGGCGCCAGCACCCGCCGCGCAGCAGGCGTGCGGCTGCAGATCCTCCGAGCTGCAGCAGTCGCTGAGACCCAGCGCCACACAGGCGGGGTAGGCCGTGCAGCCAGGGCCACCTCCACGGATTCCCATGAGAGGTGAAGAAACCCAAATTTTGACACTTTTTTTGGGGGTTATCTTCCAAAATTGAACATGTTTATATGTTTACGATATTTTACTATTTGATTTACCACGCTATGGGATTTCCAGCAAATGATTAATGATGGAGCTTTAATCAAGAGAAGTCTGTGTATAAACATCTAGAATTGAGGACTGCAGCGAGAAGAAGGAATGGGGGTCTTGAGTATTGAAAAGAAGGGAGTTCAGTGTGTCAACCACAGGAAAAAATAGAAACGTCAAACATGCAAACATGGGGAATTTGAGCATCAAACATCCGGCTTCTCGTATGAACATGTCGATCAGAACCAATAATTAGGGGGGATGCTATTCATATCTATTCATAACCTTGGTTGGAGTTATTCTATGGGAATTCAACTGCACTTATATTTGAAATATATTTGAAATAGGCTTGAACATGAAGACTGCATCCCTATTGTTGGTCATACACACCCATTTTGAAACCATCATCTAATGGTGTCATTTAATCGTATTTGTTGCTTACAGTACGCACATATATACATATGTGTACTGTACATATATATATATATATGAAGCCACTCACTGCTTTGGCAGTTGCTCTGCTTGGAGGTTTGTCGCCCGTATGCAGTGGTTGGTTGTTGGCTGGTTCTTGGTTGGTTTGGTTGGGTAGATAGGTGGATAGAGTAGGTAATCATATGTATGAGGGTTCCTTAGAATGTCGTACCCAAAGACCAAAGACTCTTCTTGATTTTTGGGTGATTTTGGCATTTAGAAATCTCTCATTCACCATTCTCCAAACCTTCGCAGCAACCCAGAGCTGGCGTCCCCTCTGCTGGTGGGCAGCAAGCCCCAGTCAGGCCCAACCTCAGTTTCAGCAATGCAAAAAATGGGATTTCACCAGCAGAAATGGTGATTCAACCATCAAAAAATGGTGGACTTGATGGTTTGAGCAGCAACAATGAGGGTTAATACAAAGAGAAGGTGGGATTGAACTTATCAAAGTGGTGATTTAGCCAGCAATTATGGAATCGTAACAGCAAAAAGATGCGTTTTTGTTTAAACTGTAACAAATGGGGTTTTGATCAATAGATATTGGTGGGTCAACACATAAAAATGAAAGGGATGTCTTAGGGATCTTGGGGAAAACATGTTAACATGTCAATTATTTGGCTGTAAGTAGGGAAACGCAAACTAAATCAACCCGTACTATATCCGTGAAAGAACACCTAGCCTTTCCAGTAATGATGAACAATACATCTCGCTGAGCCCTTTCAGCTGAAAAAGGGGCACGGGAAGCTCTTCATTCATGACCAACCCAACCACCACGAAGTACCAGGTACCGACTCCCACAATTTTAATGGTTGGTGTGTTTCAGCCCCAACCTTAAATCACAGTATAAAATAGATGAAAATAGTATATAATAGTATATATATATATATGTGGCAGGGACCTTTTGGTATAATGCGACCGTCCTCCTTTCTGATCCCATTTGTTTCCATACTTGTCTCCTTGTCTGTTCCCAACTTGTCTCCTTATTTCTCTATCTCCATTGCGATTCTTCTCTCTGGGTGCTTTCGGTCAAAGGAATCTCCCCTTGTCTCCCGTTCCTCACTTCTCTCTCCATTGCTCAGTGTTCTTTGTTCTGGTGGCTTTGGGACAGGACTCAAGTCCCATCTGTTTTCGTACTCGTCTCTCTACTTCACTCTCACATGTGGCTGTTCTCTCTGGGTGCTTCCGGGGCACAGTATGCTCCTTGTCCTCTGTCTGTCTATGTGCTTGTCCCCCTTGTTCTCTCCAACTCATGCCCTTACTTCTCTCTCTCTTGCTGTTCTTCTCTCTAGGTGCTTATTTGGACACATGATTCTCTCCGGTTCCTCACTTGCCCTTTCTTGTTCCCTCCAACGTGTATCCTTAATCCCCTCCCCATTGCTGCTGCTGGGGGAAGAATGGATTTCCTGGCCTCTTGTGTTTCTCCCTGCCTTTTTTCCTTTGTTCAGGTCACATTCCCTTACCCTCAGTCTCTACCACGTGTTACCCTACTTACCTTCCTACTTGTCTCCAACTTGTCTCCTTATCCTCTCTCCACTACCGTGCTTCTTTCCAGGTCTCCGGCATTTGGGACGGAGAGGATAGTTTTTCTCCTCTTTCCTTTCTTTCCTTCCTTGTCCCTGTAGTCTTTCCCAGCGCTTTCTTCACTTCTCTCCTCATTCCTGTTGTTCTCGCTTTTGGGACCCAAGATTCCCCTTGTCTCCCATGTGTTCCCATCTGTGTCCTTATTTAGCCAATTTTTTCCTACTTGCTGTTTTGTCTAGGCTTTAGGACCTCTTCATTTCTTTTTGTCCCTCCCTGTTACTGTTCTTCTTCCTGGGTGCTTCTGGGCACAGGATTCTCTTCGTGGTGCTCGATGGCAAAGGATTCTTCTTGCCTCCCATTTGTTTCCATACTTGTCTCCTTGTCTGTTCCCAACTTGTCTCCTTACTTCTCTATCTCCATTGCGATTCTTCTCTCTGGGTGCTTTCGGTCAAAGGAATCTCCTTGTCTCCCGTTCCTCACTTCTCTCTCCATTGCTCAGTGTTCTTCGTTCTGGTGGCTTTGGGGACAGAACTCAAGTCCCATCTGTTTTCGTACTCGTCTCTCTACTTCACTCTCACATGTGGCTGTTCTCTCTGGGTGCTTCCGGGGCACAGTATGCTCCTTGTCCTCTGTCTGTCTCCGTGCTTGTCCCCCTTGTTCTCTCCAACTCGTGCCCTTACTTCTCTCTCTCTCTCTCTCTCTTTCTCTCTCTCTCTCTCTTTCTCTCTCTCTCTCTTGCTGTTCTTCTCTCTAGGTGCTTATTTGGACACATGATTCTCTCTGGTTCCTCACTTGTCCTCCCTTGTCCTCCCTTGTTCCCTCCAACGTGTATCCTTAATTCCCTCCTCATTGCTGCTGCTGCTTGGAGAAGAATGGATTTCCTGGCCTCTTGTGTTTCTCCTTAACTTTTCTTCCTTTGTTCAGGTCACATTCCCTTACCCTCGGTCTCTACCACATGTTACCCTACTTACCTTCCTACTTGTCTCCAACTTGTCTCCTTATTCTCTCTCCACTACCGCGCTTCTTTCCAGGTCTCCGGCATTTGGGAGGGAGAGGATAGTTTTTCTCCTCTTTCCTTTCTTTCCTTCCTTGTCCCTGTAGTCTTTCCCAGCGCTTTCTTCGCTTCTCTCCTCATTCCTGTTGTTCTCGCTTTTGGGACCCAAGATTCCCCTTGTCTCCCATGTGTTCCCATCTGTGTCCTTATTCAGCCAATTTTTTCCTACTTGCTGTGTGGTCTAGGCTTTAGGACCTTCAGGTGGTTTTGGGGGCCATAAACATTCCCGAGTCCCTCATTCGTGTCCCTTCCGTCACCGCCTTCTTGCAGTCTCCTCTCTTCATTTCTTTTTGTCCCTCACTGTTACTGTTCTTCTTCCTGGGTGCTTCTGGGCACAGGATACTCTTCGTGGTGCTCGATGGCAAAGGATTCTTCTTGCCTCCCATTTGTTTCCATACTTGTCTCCTTGTCTGTTCCCAACTTGTCTCCTTACTTCTCTATCTCCATTGCGATTCTTCTCTCTGGGTGCTTTCGGTCAAAGGAATCTGCTTGTCTCCCGTTCCTCACTTCTCTCTCCATTGCTCAGTGTTCTTCGTTCTGGTGGCTTTGGGGACAGGACTCAAGTCCCATCTGTTTTCGTACTCGTCTCTCTACTTCACTCTCATATGTGGCTGTTCTCTCTGGGTGCTTCCGGGGCACAGTATGCTCCTAGTCCTCTGTCTGTCTGTCTGTCTCCGTGCTTGTCCCCCTTGTTCTCTCCAACTCGTGCCCTTACTTCTCTCTCTCTCTTTCTCTCTCTCTCTCTCTCTTGCTGTTCTTCTCTCTAGGTGCTTATTTGGACACATGATTCTCTCTGGTTCCTCACTTGTCCTCCCTTGTCCTCCCTTGTCCTCCCTTGTTCCCTCCAACGTGTATCCTTAATTCCCTCCTCATTGCTGCTGCTGCTTGGGAAAGAACGGATTTCCTGGCCTCTTGTGTTTCTCCTTAACTTTTCTTCCTTTGTTCAGGTCACATTCCCTTACCCTCGGTCTCTACCACATGTTACCCTACTTACCTTCCTACGTGTCTCCAACTTGTCTCCGTATTCTCTCTCCACTACCGTGCTTCTTTCCAGGTCTCCGGCATTTGGGAGGGAGAGGATAGTTTTTCTCCTCTTTCCTTTCTTTCCTTCCTTGTCCCTGTGGTCTTTCCCAGCGCTTTCTTCACTTCTCTCCTCATTCCTGTTGTTCTCGCTTTTGGGACCCAAGATTCCCCTTGTCTCCCATGTGTTCCCATCTGTGTCCTTCTTCAGCCAATTTTTTCCTACTTGCTGTTTTGTCTAGGCTTTAGGACCTCTTCATTTCTTTTTGTCCCTCCCTGTTACTGTTCTTCTTCCTGGGTGCTTCTGGGCACAGGATACTCTTCGTGGTGCTCGATGGCAAAGGATTCTTCTTGCCTCCCATTTGTTTCCATACTTGTCTCCTTGTCTGTTCCCAACTTGTCTCCTTACTTCTCTATCTCCATTGCGATTCTTCTCTCTGGGTGCTTTCGGTCAAAGGAATCTCCTTGTCTCCCGTTCCTCACTTCTCTCTCCATTGCTCAGTGTTCTTCGTTCTGGTGGCTTTGGGGACAGGACTCAAGTCCCATCTGTTTTCGTATTCGTCTCTCTACTTCACTCTCACATGTGGCTGTTCTCTCTGGGTGCTTCCGGGGCACAGTATGCTCCTTGTCCTCTGTCTGTCTCCGTGCTTGTCCCCCTTGTTCTCTCCAACTCATGCCCTTACTTCTCTCTCTCTCTCTCTTTCTCTCTCTCTCTCTCTTGCTGTTCTTCTCTCTAGGTGCTTATTTGGACACATGATTCTCTCCGGTTCCTCACTTGCCCTTTCTTGTTCCCTCCAACGTGTATCCTTAATTCCCTCCTCATTGCTGCTGCTGCTTGGAGAAGAATGGATTTCCTGGCCTCTTGTGTTTCTCCTTAACTTTTCTTCCTTTGTTCAGGTCACATTCCCTTACCCTCGGTCTCTACCACATGTTACCCTACTTACCTTCCTACTTGTCTCCAACTTGTCTCCTTATTCTCTCTCCACTACCGCGCTTCTTTCCAGGTCTCCGGCATTTGGGAGGGAGAGGATAGTTTTTCTCCTCTTTCCTTTCTTTCCTTCCTTGTCCCTGTAGTCTTTCCCAGCGCTTTCTTCACTTCTCTCCTCATTCCTGTTGTTCTCGCTTTTGGGACCCAAGATTCCCCTTGTCTCCCATGTGTTCCCATCTGTGTCCTTATTCAGCCAGTTTTTTCCTACTTACTGTGTGGTCTAGGCTTTAGGACCTTCAGGTGCTTTGGGGCCATAATTGCAGTCTCCTCTCTTCATTTCTTTTTGTCCCTCCCTGTTACTGTTCTTCTTCCTGGGTGCTTCTGGGCACAGGATACTCTTCGTGACTCTTCGTGGTTGCTCGATGGCGAAGGATTCTTCTTGCCTCCCATTGGTTTCCATACTTGTCTCCTTGTCTGTTCCCAACTTGTCTCCTTATTTCTCTATCAAAAAAAAATATGTATTCACTTTTTTTTAATTTTTTGAATTTTTTGAATTCAAAAAATTCAAAAAAATCAAAAAAAAATGAAAGTCCCAAAAAGAAAGAAATGGAATTCAAAAAATTCAAAAAATTCAAAAAAATCAAAAAAAAATATGTATTCATTTTTTTTTTGAATTTTTTGAATTCCATTTCTTTCTTTTTGGGACTTTCATTTTTTTTTGATTTTTTTGAATTTTTTGAATTCAAAAAATTCAAAAAAATCAAAAAAAAATATGCATTCACTTTTTTTTTGAATTTTTTGAATTTTTTGAATTCAAAAAATTCAAAAAATTCAAAAAAAATATGTATTCACTTTTTTTTTGATTTTTTTGAATTTTTTGAATTCAAAAAAATCAAAAAAAATTATGTATTCATTTTTTTTTGAATTTTTTGAATTTTTTGAATTCAAAAAATTCAAAAAATTCAAAAAAAAATATGTATTCACTTTTTTTTTGAATTTTTTGAATTTTTTGAATTCAAAAAATTCAAAAAAAATTATGTATTCACTTTTTTTTTGAATTTTTTGAATTCAAAAAATTCAAAAAAATCAAAAAATTCAAAAAAAAAATGAAAGTCCCGAAAAGAAAGAAATGGAATTCAAAAAATTCAAAAAATTGAATTTTTTGAATTTTTTGAATTCCATTTCTTTCTTTTTGGTATATAGATTAACTAGTAGGGATTCTCCAGAAAGAGGTATAATTTCAATAAAATCCTTTCGACATGCAAACGTTCAAATAGTACATAAAGGTCCATCGTACATATATATATATATATATAGATGTGAGTTGGTCAGTTGGGATACGTAACGGGATCATTTTTACAGAATCGTTCCAGTGGCGGTTGGGTCAATATGTTGGTTTGGTACCCTGAAATCTGATGGCGTAAGCCACAAAAACATCCCTATTCGTTTGGCTAAAAACACCATGTTCAGACACACAAAAGCATCATATTGTTGGCTAAAAACATAATGAATACATAAATACATATACATATAAATAATGTACATATATATATATACAACTATACACACACCTTTGCATTCACATCTTGGTTGCTTAAATCCCCATATTCACACGATTGGTTTCGCAAATTTCATGTATTGATTGGCTAAATCATCATTGTTGCTAGTGAAACCTTTGATTGCCACAGATATCCCCGAATTGACAAGATTGGACCCCCCAATCCCAATAGTTTCTCATGATTTTCACTCTTCAATTGGTTTCTGTGGGTACCCTCTGGTAAACATACAAAAAAACTGATGGGAAAATCACCATTTTCAATGGGTAAATCCACTATGAATGGCAATGTTCAATAGCTATGTTAGTCATTACCAGAGGGTATCCCCCATGTTCAGAGCCACTTTGATCTTTTCACCTTGAAAAAAGATCGCTGAAAACTACTTATCCCACAAACAAATCAGCTGCCTGGGATCAAACGCACCATGTTTTACAATTTTACAGGTTATATATCACTGGTTGGTGGTTTCAACCCCTCTGAAAAGGGATGATTATTCCCAATATATGGAAAATAAAAAATGTTCCAAACCACCAACCAGATCACCATTGTACATCACCATTGCATCACCATTATATCAGTGTTGTTTTTTTTGTGATTGCACTGTAAATATATGTACTGTAAATATAACATATACAGTACCACCATGTTTTCAGTGATATATTACGCATTATAAACCAGATTACCATTATATCACCATGTTTGTTGGAATGGACACCATCTATACCATAAATATCCGTAAATATCCATAAATCACCATGATAGATGGTGCAATATTCATAAATCTCCCCGTTTTCATTGCGCCATGTCTTCTCAATGCCGCGCCACGCGTGACATCTGGGAAAAACACTGCAGGCCGTCGGGCTCGGCGGCACCAGCGGCGCGGGCGGCATCGGCGGCCCGGTTTCGTCCGGCGGGATCTCCTGAAGGACCAACGTGGAGTCCACGGTGGGTTGTCCACAAGGTCGTGTATAACTCCAATACCTTGGGTTTATAGTAGATATATCTACATATATATATATATATATCCATAATATATATATATGTATATATACATACAGACACACACACTATATATATATATATGTATATATATATATACAGACACACTATGTATATATATAATATAATATATTCTTAATAAATACGGGACCAACTTATAACTGGGCTGCACCACTTTGCAATTGCAACTGGAAATTCCACCGTGTTTAGATCATTTGATTTTCCGTGGGTTCATCTACTGGAGGATCAGCGCAGTTAATTTGGCCCCCCGTTTGCGATAGCCAAGTTGGTTACCTCCAATAACTATCTGGCTGGTGGTTTTCCTGGGAATATCCACTATAAATGGAATATCCACTATCAATGGGAATTTCGGAATATATAAGTATCTGATTGGTGGTATACCTACCCCTCTGAAAAATGATGGAGTTAAAGTCAGTTGGGATGATGACATTCCCAACTGAATGGAACAATAAAAGCCATGTTCCAGACCACCAACCAGCTATTATGATTTCTGATACTTATAATTGGGAGGGGGCACATTGTATTAATCAGAACAAGGGGTAGTGAAATTCCAACTTCGAGGATCATTTCACGGATCGCAACTGGGTCCCATTTTTGCATTGGGTGACTTCACAAACACTAAGCGATGTAAAGTTACGATCTGTGGGGTGATCCTCTAAGTAGATAGTTCAGACCTATCAGCAAAGTTAGTGGGTTAGCTCACACGATTTAATCTAGTAGGGGAAGCAAGGTTAGTCCAGTCATTGCATTGGGGCGAACGAACCCAGCACGATTCCTGGGGTGAACCACCACCTAGGAGGTGGCAAACGCCCGAAAAAAAGAAAAAAAACACTTCGGATATAAGCAGCGTAACTACGATGTGGGCCCCCTAGATAGCTAATTTCGTTTATACTTCCGATAACCATGGTTTATGATATTTACAACTATAGCTAATAGGGCGGTTTATGAATCAAGTTACAACTGGGGGCCCCACCTTGTATAGGGATGTATATAAACTGTATGTATATATATATATATATATATTGTTGAACTTGTGGAATATATAACCAAAATTAACCAAATAAATATGATACATGTGTTCGTCTGAGATTTCTAAGGGAACCTCCATCCATCCACTAGTGAAGAAAATCATGTTTCCAAACAATGACATGGATTGCGGGTACACCCAATTTTCAGGCACACCCAACTATAGTTCATAGCAAACCCGAAAAGGAATCAAACAAATAGACTGGAGTGAAAATCAATCCTAGAATTGAGTCGTTATTTAAGTTTAAATTATTGTATCTGCTGGGGGTTGCCACAACAAGATGTGAACCTACTGTACTGTGTGAAGTTCAAATGGTTACGAGTACCTAAGATATTGTAGCTAAACTGATATTAATCCCGGATTAACATATGTTGATTCCACGGAAGACCAACAGCTCAGTGGTTCATCAATCTGGGGTTTACATTATCCCGAACAAAAATAATGTGGATACCATTGGATACCACTAAGACAATGTATAGGTTTGTGAAATTCACTAAAAGAATATAAAATATCACAATCTATTCTGTATATTGCTGGTCAAGGTCCACATGTTTATGGTTTACTGATGTTTACTGTACATCCCCAGTTTCTTGATTGGCAACTAAGACAATGGCATGTCCAATTTCCGGCGTTTCCAGTAGAATATCATAGTTAGTCCGAACATCATTTCTGGAGAGTCCAGTTGCACCGATGTTGATCCATGTTCCATTGACCATGGACATGCTTCATCATGCTCCATTCTGATAAATATGATCCATCCGTTCATACCCTCTGGTAAACTAACATAACTATGGGAAATCATCATTTTTAATGGGTAAATCAACTATAAATGGCCATTTTCAATAGCTATGCTAAATTACCAAAGGGTAATCACAGTTAGACAATGTTAGACACACTTTTTGTTCATCGAAAAACACATTTCCCGGAAAATCATAGTTCGTTCACAGTTGAAAGCATTACCCATAGGATCCATGTATGGTATATATGCTAACATTTGGGGTATATTGATGGTAAATGTTACCATATATAGCATACATGGATCCTATGGGTTATGTTCCCTTGATGTATTTGAAACAAACAGTTGATGGATACTGTAAAACCCCAACAAAAACGGTTTTCATCGAACATCATGTGTTCGAATCAAATGAGCAACTCTTCTGTCCTAGAACACTCATGATTTTCCGTCAAATCACAATTTTCCTTCAAACATCATCATTCCACCTGGAAACATCCAGATTTTTCCCACAAAGACACATTTATCCACAGTGTTTCTTCATCCCGGCCCCACTCCAGAAAGTCGCTGGGCCCGTGTGGCTCCCCGCGCCGCGCTGCCAAAAACTCGTCGTCGCAAAAAGCCACGGCTGCAAGGAGGGGCAGGGCGAGGAGAGGTCCTCAGTTGGGCGGGAGATTCATTGAACATTTATGGTGATTTCAATAGGATTTTCATGGAATTTATGATAATTTAAAGGAACTTATGTTTTTTTTGGTGATCTTATGGTGATTTGGAGGGATTTATGGTAATTTCCAAGGAATTGTTGGTTCTTTCAATTGATTTTATGGTGATTTAAGGAACTTATGGTGATTTGAATGAAGACACATGTTGATTTAACCTACAAATCCGGGCTTTGAATGACCAAAATGAGGATTTCACCAACAACATATGGACTTAAACGCGTTTTAATGGTGTCTTCATGAAGTTTCTGGTGACTTACCCTCTGGTAATTTAACATAGCTATGGAAAATGACCCATTTATAGTTGATTTACCTATTAAAGATGGTGATTTTCCATAGCTTTTTGGTGCTTTTTGTATGTTTACCAGAGGGTAAATCAAACAGAATCAGGAGTTCACATGATTTTACCACCAGACTGGTTATTGAATGGTGACTTCATAATTTCATGGTTGTCTATGCTGAGGATTTAACCAACAAGAATGAGGATTTAACCAATCCAAACAACATGAGGATTTAACATTATTCAACCAACAATTCATCCTGATTTGATGGGTGATCTCCATGACAGCCCGGCATGTGTGGTCGACCACTGCCATCGCCGCCGCAACGACGACAACCACTACAAGTACTACCAACACTATGGGGTACAAAACTAACAGTTTGACGGGACTGGAGGTACGTAATAGGTACCCAAAAAAACAATTGTAGGGTATTGTCGATGCCAATGGATGTTGAGATGTGAATTCAACTAACCAGCAATGAATGCGGTTTTCACTGGAACAAATGATTCAATTTTATTCTATGCGGGTTTCTCTTAAACATGGGGATACTTACTCCTAAGTCATGGTAACTTTTGGGAATCTACCCGGCCAAATGGATTACAACTATGACCTTAGGGGAAAAAAGGCAACCCTTGTGCGGGTATACTGGAGATGTAAATGGATATGATGGACAACCAACCAATATGATACAGGTGTGTATCAAAATGGCGGACTGGCACATTTTGGCATGGGGTACCTTATTTTCAGATTCACCAACCAGTAGCATTTGGAGATGTTAGCTAGCTGATCATGGGGATTCAACTTGAACCACCACCCCCAAGAGTGACCCCTTCCAACAAGAGATTCTTCATGAACCCTCATTAGTTTGTGTTGGTTAATAAGTCCTCTATAAACCCACCTTGTGCTCGCCAGTTTTTGCTGCTCGAAGCCTCTCATTTTTGTTCAGGTTTCTTAGGGTTCGGATCCGTGCAAATGATATACTGTATGATATATGATATATGAAAACTACTAATAGCGCATGAGTAGTAAGAATATTAATCATATAAACAATACCCATATTGCAAAATAGCGCAAACAAATCCTAAACATATCTGCCATGTTCGGAATTGCTTACTTCCTACATTACTAAACTGGTAAGCAATATCTAACAGTCCCGGCTAGAGGATGATGCCATTTTTGTTACCGCTTTGATAATATACCATATCTCATTACAATACAACAATGTATACCATTACAGATTAGTATAGTACCAATGTATACCTATTACAGATTAGCATAGTACAACATACAGCTGGTAACAATTACAACTATACATTGGTACTACTAACCTGAAATAAGGTCATTTGGGGATAGTTACCCCTACTAACCATCATTCCCAGGTTTCGGTTGCAGTGAGGTCGTTATAATTTACCCAGAACAATGTTAATCGTTACCAGGTCTACCTAAGACTGCTAGGAATAGCACCATTTCTGCCATTCTTGTGGGGGGAATCCTGCATCATGAAGTTCGCCATCCAAGTCTCTCATCCCAACGTTGGAGTTGCCGAACGCCGTTTTCAGCGTTTTGAGTGGCCGTGGAGTGGTCCCGGAGTGATCCCCACGAAAGGGGAGTGATGTGGATGTTTCATGTATTGTCTTAGATGAAAGACCAACATTCAACAATTATTGATGGGAAAAATTATGGGAAAAATAATGATAGACCTTGATACCAATCTTTTTCTTTATTTGGGGGTATCCGGTTTTTCGCGATAGCCATCAGGCTGAACCGTACCTGAAATTTTTGGTTATCTTGGGGAAGGTTGTCCTCACCATTTCTGTCAATCTGATGCTTCTCTTGGTCGGTCTGAGTTCGGCTCTTCCTTGTCTCGCAATTTTGAGTTGGATGCTCCATAAATTCGCCATAAAACATAGCTCATGTTCCTGGAAATCAGTGATGTTCCACATCTATGTTGGTTTACCCCAAGCCCTAGGGCAAACATAAGTTCAGCAACCTTCCCTTTTTCAGTTTTATCTGAGGAGGATCCTCACTAGGCAAGGAGTGCGAAGTCTTTCCGCAGTCCCCTGGGCCAAAGCAACAAAGTCCATGCTGGTCATGTTGAGCCACCCGTCCCAGAAGCTGTATCCATCATATGCTAAGCTGGATTTCCTATGCATATCATGGAATTATATATATATAAAAATAATTATATATACATATGTACAGGTATATATATATACATACATATATGCAGATATTGTGCAGGTGATGTATATATATATACATGTATTTATTTATATATATACAGTATATATACGTGTGTCAGTGTATATCTTATGAAATCTTATAATCTGCGATTCCCCTTCCAATCACCGATCAAATCACAGAGGTCTGGTGAGCACAGCGATTTATCAATTTGAAGCCCTTGGTGCCGGCGGTACCAATTCGTTTTGGAGTCACGGCCAATAATATGCCAAACATGAAGCATCAATGAACCACCTCCAACCATTGTTCAGTGAACATGCCATTCTGTCATTGTTCAACATGTCAGTGCTAAACAGACTTTTGTGATTGTGTGATTGATTTTGTATGGTGAGCTCTGGTCAATGAAAGGTAAGATGCACACTCAGATATTCATCAGGTCGCCAAAGACCCATAGAGTAACAGTCAGTAGTCAACGACTGTTTTTTTTTTAAGTATTTGTGATGAGGCAAAGGCCTTGGTACTTGCTAGATCATTTCACCCGAACACGGAGCTTGACCGTGCCCAAGCATACATCATGATACATGATACATCTCCTGGTTGGTGGTTTTAACCATCTTGAAAAATATTAGTCAATGGGAAGGATTATCCCATATATTACGGAAAAAATGTTTGAAACCACCAACCAGATATAGGATTGAACATATGGGAAATTTGTCCACTATAAATGGACATTTTCAATAGCTATGTAAACGTTTACCAGAGGGTATACACTGCGTTTGTCTTTAAACGCCTTTCCCCCATAACCAACCACGTGTGGATCCCGGACCCCGCACCGGATCGAACTCAGGTGGCTTCTGACTTTGCAAGGACGCCAAGTAGAGAACAATGATGGACAGGATGCCCCACACTGAGCGGGAGCCGATGGACATTGTAGATGGCCAAGCTACTTAACGATGATTAATCTGTATGGAATTCCATGTCATTTCCATCGCTACACCAAATTACCAGGAGGTCAGTGAATGAATAGTAACTTAGATGGACATCAGCATGTCAACTCTTCTTGGAACTTTCAACTGTTTCGTGAGGAAATATTGGGGAATTTATTTATTGAACAAAGAAGAGCCAGCAATGGATTGAGTGGCGACCAAATGTTGATGTGGTAGTTGTTACTAGCATGACAGCATGCGTTGACAAGACAGGTTTCACCATGGCATGATTTAGTTCTTTATATGCAATTGTCGTGCCTAAAATAGGCAAACTTGAATGTTCCGCCAAGCTCATTTTGGGAATGATTCCACAACATATCCCCACGTTAAGTATGCAAAGCGAGCAACGAAGATATGCGACATGATCACGAGAAGCTGACATACCCTGGAAACATCCTGATAGCAGGACACATCTGATGTCAATATTTTGCAGTGAGCCCTAACACACGAGAACACCCAATCTGAATGTGTATATTGGGATCGTTTTTGCGAAACATTTTGGTAAACGTTCCTCATGCATATCATGTGAATGATATCCCAAAAGAGTCTGGGACCCATATTATGTGGGGGACTGAGGTCCGAATTTTGGATTCTTCATGGGCGAAAACTCGCTGTGTGCAGGTAGTGAATGCCAACAATTGCCCAACCTGTGGTGAAGTATTTTAAGTATATTGAAGTATCTAGGATGATTGTGATGATTGCATGTCATGTTTTTGTATACAAAGGAAGTTGTACTTATCTACTACACAACTGAGTAGTATCACGGCAATGATGAAACATGCATCACCAACAGACTGATCCTAGGACATGATGTATCTAATTTCTAAGCTCAGATTCCCCGTTTCACACATAGTTCCCAGTGGGGATATCTCCTAAACACAGCAAATTTATGGTCTAGAGACCCTCAAAGGTAGAAAAACAACATCAAATCCCCATTATATTCCCATGATATCCCCAATTATGAATACCCTTTGGTAAACGTTTACATAGCTATTGAAAATGGCCATTTACAGTGGATAACTAAAATATTGGTAAGTTAGTAGTAGTTAGTTTAGTATATCTTTTTGTGGGGCCCCGCTACAAACAGTCAAACCACCAAGGTTCCGAAGTTCTGGGCATCCCAACTGAGGCCAACGATCACGCCAGCATCGATGATGGCCCGATAGGGGTTGTCCAACTGCTTCACGCCTGGAAAACGTGGCAAAAAACATGGGGGTAACCATCGATCTCTTGGGGTCATTTTTCTTGCATTTCTCGAATTATGATCTTATTGTGGTTTTAACCATCTTGAAAAATATGAGTTCGTCAATGGGAAGGATGACATCCCATATATTATGGAAAATAAAACATGTTTGAAACCACCAACCAGTGATGTACTTATACAGCTCTTTTGCTATATCCAAACATCCGAACTTTCGGTGTTCACCCTCATGTCGCGGCTAGCCTCAGAACCTTATTTCTATATATTTTGGCGGCATATCTTGCTACCATCTGGTTATTTAACATAGTCATGGAAAATCCACCCATTTTCAATAGGTGAACCATCTATTTCTATGGGCCATCACCATGGCAAACTGTTAGTCATAACCAGATGCTACATGTAGGACTAAGAATCCACCCAGTCAACATCGATGGCTCCATCATTTTTGCAGCATTGCATCCCAATCTTGCGAGGAAAACCGACGGTTCGAGAAGGTTTACCAAGGTCATCACCTTTTGGTTAGTCAACCCCCTTATATACATTTATATACTATGGCAAAGCAGAGAAAAACCTCAAGCTCGGAGATTTGAACACGTCAAATGCACATGAATGATCATCAAATGTACTGAAGATCACCAGATTTTAGACATCCGGTTTCCACACCATTCACCACCCGGTTTCCACATGTTTTTTCAGGGTCAAGTCCCTACCCATTCAGTCGGTTGACCCATTCATATCGCCCGGAGATCATAAAGTTGTCCATATATCCCCGTTGTATCTCCAGTGTACCCTTATTATATCACCATTTTGGTTGGTTAAGATTCCAAAACTCCAGCTAATCGACCCATTTAAATTCGAATTGTGCCTGGTTATATCACCACTTTTGTTACTTCCCGTATCTTCCCGTCTGGTTATTTTAACACAGCTATAGAAAATCACCCTTTTAAATAGGTAGATAATCTATGCAATGGCAATTTCCAATAGCTATGGCAGTATATGTTCAATTACCAGAGGGTATTACTGAATATCCCCAGTTTTGTTGCTTTATTCCGAGTCAACCCGTGAAGTGTCCATTCACCCGGCGTCCTATGACCACGGCGAAGATCACGGTGGTGACCTGTGTTGCGCACTGACAGCGACCGCAAAGATCAAGCAAATTACTTGTGTTTTACCAGGAAACTGATGGTTGATCGCCCTGGCAAAAAAATGTGCTTTTTATACGCAGCAAAATCCGTCAAACACGAATATTAAACCCTTATAAGCCCATAAACCTTGTTTTTTAATCGTAATCATGGGGGATTACCTGACAACCCATTTAAAAACGGCATCAGCAAAAACGTACAATGTCATGCTCTTTGTTACCCCCAAAAGACTGAGAAACAACGAGACTGGCATCCGAGAGAAGGGTTTTTCGATGCTGGAGAGAACGGCATCCGCATGGCCGCATGGGGGCGCTGGACGCTCGGGCTGAGCAGGTTTTTTTCGTGTCAATGCGAAACTTTATCTGGTTGGTGGTTTTAACCATCTTGAAACATATTAGTCAATGGGAAGGATGACATCCCATATATGAAATGGAAAATAAAAAAATGTTCCAAACCACCAACCAGTTATGAATTATTACTAACGGATGCTTGTTTCATGTTCTGCGAAGTTGTTAGATATATACACAATCATTGTTACATATCTAACATCCTGAATCTCATTCGCATATCACCAGATTACAGCAGCTATGTGAGATTTGTTGTTCTAGAAAATGGCATCCATACAATGAACGTACAGAAAGATCAGAAAGTGGTTAGAAAATAGGAGAAAGTCGGCTTGATCAAGGCTTGATCGCAGATCGCACCATCCAGGGTTTCCTGGTTTTTCATCCCACTGGCCATACAACAGTTTTTGCGTCCAAAATTTTGGGGAATCCCCCTTTTGGTAGGCGAAGAAATAGGGTTAAGTGACTTAAGTCTCTATTTTCTTTGATTAAATTATGACAAGTTTTTTTTGCCTGGATCAAATTCACTTTAGTTTTTTGTTGTAATCCAATGTGTTTCATTAACTCCAAGATATCGGTTAGTTGCAATCCCATGTCTTTTGCTTAAGTTTCATTTTTTCTTTCTTGCAACCCCATGTTTTTGCTTATGTAACCCCAGTGTTATCCCCAGGGATCAGAGGATTCTAGATTCAAATCCCAACGTTTTATTCCCAAGTTTTGATAGTTGCAAATGCAAATTCCCAATATTCCGCAATGTTAAATCCCACACTTTGGGGGAACATCGCAATTAGTTAGTGGTTAGCAAACCATACATGTGTGGGCGCATATTCTAAATAGAACTGGGTTATGAAACGGCTCTTGCCCACTCACCAACTGGAATGCACATCCAATTTTCATTTGCCATATATATTCACTTCTTCACCATATACATCCAAACAAAAAAACGATTTCATTAGCCACTTATACCCACTTAACTGTAGTTTGCCCGTGTTCACCGAAAAAAAAAAACACATTGTTTCCTCATCCTGGGCCGCCCAGGAACCGCCCAGCTGGTGATGACTCGCTTGTCGGTGCCGTGGAAGTAGCCGATGCAGAAGGCGGGCTTGGTGCCGTGCCGGAGTAGCTAGGTGATGAAGGAAGTTGATGGACAAGGGTACAGATCATTAATATCTATGTAGGTATCCACTACAAATGGAGGTTTTAACGGGATTATCCACTATAAATGGAATATCCACTATGAATGGGAATTTCGGAATATATATCTATCTGGTTGGTGGCATACCTACCCCTCTGAAAAATATGAAAGTCAGTTGGGATATGCTGGGATGATTATTCCCAAGATATGGGAAAATAAAAAATGTTCCAAACCACCAACCAGCTATGTAGGTATTCATACATGCATGTAATTTTACATTTTCAATGTTTCATCTCTATTTTTATCTATCAGGTTTGGACAATTTCCTCGTTGACTGGGGGGTCCATCAAAATAAAGACAGCAACGGTTGTCAACCACTGATATAGTGGCAAAAAAGATAGAACAACTGACAACCGTTCAAACTACTTTGATGGTGTTTTGCTTTTCTATCCCTTTCGAGCCTTTTTATGTATATTTATCCGTATTGTTTGAATATGTGAACCGTTGAGATATATTCAGTTCCACCTGCAACATATGATACATACATTCATGTATGTGTAAAGTATCCTATATTATCATATACTGTATACGTAGTTGTATGACATCAACAAAAAACATATTGCATTATGTACACGTATACCTACACCGCATCGACAACCCGCATGTTTTACATACCAGTACTGGACCGAGCCAAAAATGATGGTGATAGCCTACATAACTTCCACCCAAAAACCGGGTTGTGATTCTGGATCACAAATGCAAGGCATGGCAATAGTAGCATAACACCTTTAATACAGCATAAATGGGAGTGTACCACCAAAAAAAAGTGGGGAAACGATGGAGTATGAGAGATTTAGTGTTACAACCAGAATCAAATGGATTGTTGTGTGGGAAATAAGACTGTGGGACGCCAATCCAAAATGTCAACTCAGCTCGGCCAGGTACCTGTCAATTGAAAGGCCCAAGTCTTTGCACTTGCATTGGGTCAACATTGGATGCCACAAAAACTTATAAAAGTAGATGGTTCCATGATGGAATGTGAAAAATAATTCAAACTCATTTCAAACTCATCAAAGCGAGTCAAAACCACTGGTTTCAATTTTTGACCCATATCAATCCAAATATCTTGGTGTGATCAGGCAACGAGTCTTGGTCCCCACACGGCCAGAACCTTGTGCCACACTGGAGCTTCTTCAATTTCCTCCCGTGATGGACTTGGATCCCGAAGTGCATGGCGGCTACAAGTGGGCGAAGCAACAGACTCTACAAACTCTTCCAACCAGATACCCTCTGGTCAACAAACAAAAAGCTATTGAAAATCACCATTTCATAGCTGGGTAAATCAACTATTTCGACTGGGCCATGGCTTCAATAGCTATGTTAGTTTACCAGAGGGTACTGTAAATAACAGAACACTAACTTCCGAATTTATATTTCACCCCAATGGTAAACACGACCCCCAAGTTTGCCCTGACTGGCATGGGATCTGTTCATTTTGGGATCCGTGATTCATATCGTCAAGGGATGGGATGGTCAGTGGTTGCAACTACTTGCGGGAATCCTCTTAGCTTTTCTTGGGGCCTATGTATAATTCCATAAAGTCATGCATGTGTCTATTAGTTGAAAGATCTGTTTTCTACAGGTCAAATCCAAAATGCATGGCTCCAAATTTCGACTTTGATAATTACTTTGATCCCCAGTTTTTGTAGGTGAAGAATTGTTGAACTCCTGATTTCCCAGTGTAAAGCAAATCACCAACCAACTGTATGGGTTGAAATCACAAACACATACTCAAAATCCACATTGCAAGTCTTAAAATCCAAGATCATATATTTTGGGTGGAAACTAAGACATGAACATGCATAAGAAAAAATCAACTCATTTTTTTCAACGGTCCATGAATCATCATTTATGGCATTCAACATTTATGAATATTGATATTCAACATACCATAGTATATCATTTTTGTTTTCACGGTCCATGAAGCATCGCCGATGGCCGCTCACCTCCGAGACCACCCAGGCGCGACTCACTACGCGAGGGGAGAAACCCAGCTGAAAACCCCGATAGCCCTGCGATCGGAAGGGAGACACTGCTGGGGATTTAGATTTTGTTGGGCATATAAAACCAACAAAAAACGGTGGATTTATGGTGTTTAATGGTAATTTTATGGGATTTAGTGGGGATAGAATCCAAATATAATCATAGGATATATATATATATACTTTATCTTCGTGGTGCAATTCAGGTTACTTTTATCGGTATAACTCATGGCGAAACAACAAATTTCTGTTCATAACAAATTCGGTAGAATGATGGTTAGTTAGGGGAACTATCCCAACATGTTTTTTCTTCACAACTTGGTGAATTATTTTGATTTACCATCTGGTTATTTAACATAGCCATGGAAAATGGACCATTTATAGATGGTTTACCTATTAAAAATGGTGATTTTCCATGGCTATGTAACAAATAACCAGAGGGTATCCATGAATATGGACCCATGGGTCAAAACCTGCCCTGGTTTTTACCACCAAAAAGAGGTGTCCAACCCTGGTATCTTCATCCTCTGAAAAAAATGGGCGTCCTGGGACAACTGATTCATTCATGGTTTGTTTTTTGTTTGACGTGTTTTGGAGGGATGACCCCATGACCCCATGATTTTGTACTGGAAACTGCTATGGTGCACACATGAGGATTGAACACAACTCTATCTTGGTCAACAAGGGAACATCTGCGTTTTTTTCAGGGGAACACTATGGAAAAATCATGGAAAACTGGAAACCATGAATAAGTACAGCATGACAAGTGGAATACTTTTTCAACTTAGAAACACAGGGAAATAAAACTGCATAGCTCGAACACTGTGACATAAACACAACTGTGCAAAAAACCTTACCCAGATAGGCCATAAGAGTGAAAAATTGGTTTCCGCCATTTATCACACGATGCAAATTGAGCTACCAAAATGCGTCCATTCAAACCCATTTTGGGTATTTGCACTATCACCAATGAACTAAGTAGGCTAATAACCCACGATCTCAAGAGCAATTCGCAGTTGGGTAGTTTTCATGACTCAATGCTGTTCATGATGCTCATTGTTCCTGCTGTTTTGTAGTCAGTTTCATCGCCCTTAATGGCAAGGTCACAAGCCCACAATCAGGATACTGGTGGCCAATGTGGAAAGTGCATGCTAAATCAAAAGGATAGCATCACAAACCACGCATAGCACCACGCTGAAAAAATTGGGCATTTCCATCATATTCATTGTATTAATACAATATATCATATATATATATATACTCAATATATACATATATATATATACACTCAATATATATATATATATATTCAATATATATATATATATATATACTCAATATATATATATATATATATTCAATATATATATATATATATACTCAATATAATAAATATATAATTATTTTAAATAACATGTATTTGCCAACGACCATAGTGTAGATAAACTACCATAGCGAAAACATGTGGTGGGTACGTAAGTGAACACACATATATCAACATACCAGTATTGCGGTGAAATGATCAAACTTTTGAACAATCAATGAACAACATGTGCCATCAGTGATACAAACAGTTGGGTTTCGGATGAACATGCAAGCCAAAAACGCATTGTGTGAATACATGGTCAGCACATACTGCATGATTTCACTATGAAACATTCATCTATTCATTTACACACTTTATATGGGATAATATATATATATATATATGAATATACACACGCCAACAGTTACGTGACCCAAAATTCGGGATTGACATGTGGTGACCAAAAAATCCGACAAACAAAAGAGGATTGCAGTGCCCCTTAAAGGAAACAAAAACTACAATACCATCTTTACGGATCCAATCTCATTTTTGTTGTTGAAACATTTTTTCAATCTCGGATACCATCCACTATGGCCTTACAGCCAAACACAATCGACTTCCCCTTGGAAAAGCCGACCATGTTCCCCCGAAAAAGCCGACCTCAACGTAAGCAAAGAAGAGCAAGGTCACTACGAGCAAACCCCACTGCCAAGGTTCCTCATGGTTGGCAGCGTTAAGGATCTAAAACCGGAGGCAGTCGGAAATGACGATAAACCACAAACCGAACATAACCACATTTTGGGGTGCTTTCCCGTGTTCACCATCAGATGAGGTCAATGGGAGGTCACTCAAATTTACATAAATTTACCCAAAAGACATTACCATCCACAAAGTGTTTTTGCCATGCAGCGAAATCACAATGATACACGGAATAGTGTGTGTTAAACCAATTCAGCGCTGCACCGCTTTGAATTGCAGAGAAACCGAAAAAATGAGCCAGAAAACAAATTCATGCCAAGTCATGGTGTGTTCCCTGTTTTTGACCAGCGCCCTTCCCACAACAAAGAGCAGGACACTGAACCACCGGTCAGGTCCGAACCGGTTAGATATGGTTTGTTCATAGTCCAAAGACAGATGTGGATGCCTGTATGCACGGCTAATGTGACACACAAAACAGAGTCACATGGCATCAGTGCAGTTTTGAAATGTTCAGTGGATATAAACGAAAAAAAATCAGTCCACTCATGGAATGGTTTGGTTACAACACATTCACCATGTCCCCCAAAAAAATATATCCACATCTTTCGGTTTGTTAGCCCCAATGTGAATACATGTGAATGATGCTGTGCAAAACGTTGTTGTACTTTACTAATCTTAACTATCCGAAAATTGCACCCGTGTAATTGACAACTATGAACCATATACAATGTTGAATCGTTCCACTCTGAACCACTAGTTCTACATGTTGGTAACATTTGCGAACCACCACCAGGAAAAACACGGCGCTGCCAACAGTGTGGCCAAGGCCCCTGCGGAAAGAGCACCTAGTCCATCCAACACAATTGGCACCTTGGAAAAACCAAAGTCGTTTTCGTTGAATCTTTTGCTTGGTGAACTGCCAACATTGCACCAAATCAAAACGGTACAATATTGGTTCAGATCGGGCAATGGTTTAAACCATGAGGCTGACAGTGCTAAAAAGCCACAAGTTGCTGTTAAACTGGCCATGTCGAACAATAATTCTTGCCGAAACACACCGGCACATGAATCAACCAGGCAGACGCAATGTTACAAACACTGTCGTCAGTTCTTGTTTGATTGATTTGGGTGATCGAGGGGTATCTGCGGAGAAAACCCACCACTAGTTCCCACCATTGGAGTGCCGTGGTGCAATGTTTGATGCATTATGATGAAGATTCTGTCGACCGCAAGCCGCAATCGGCTGCCCAAGCCCCAGACCACTTTAAAGACACCGTATGAGAGGTACAAGACAACGCCTGCAACTCCCCATGCCTGGCGCCAAGACAATGGCTGTCAAGTCAAAGACTCGGTCAATACAACAAAAAAATATATTGACGAAAACAGCGGAAAGATGCAAAAGGACATTGGAACTTTTGAGTTGCAGTGCCCCTAAACATCCGAGAGGGCGAATAGGTATCAAAATCAGAAACAACATTCGAAAATTGAAACAACACCTGTGCGGCGGCCTGCACTAATTGTGACCGCTCGCTTGCCGCAGCCTTGCAGCAACCGGTGGAGGTTGAAACTACTCTGTCCCTAATTGGTTAGTTTGGCTTGGACATCCTGTATCAGCCATGCCTGGGCCACACCATCCTGCGCGCTCTCAGCTCTTCCTTGCAAGCTTTGGGTGGCAAAAGGGTCATGAAGAGACTTGGGCAGAGCCTCACACCCAAACAAAGTGCTGGGTGCCCGACTGGGCAGCGAGGACTCCGATACACCTCGCGGTGGCATGGGCCCTGGCTACAAAAGCTAACGTTGCCCCCGCCAGGAACCATGAAATACGGTTCACTTACCCAAAGTGAATCAAAGTGAAACATTGCGCCTCTCAACTTGGAATCCAAGACGTCTAGCCTTGGCGCGCCGGACCACGCACCGGTAAACCAAAAAGGCACGTGATGAATTGCTGCACAAGGTGGTTGACTCAGAGGAGGGCCCTTCAACGAGCTGATGTCTATGGCTCACATCCCACACCTGCAGCATTCACTGCCCCACATTCAAATGCGATGGCTGCAGAATAGAAGTGCGAAGCTCTGAGCCTGTGGTGCAACCCCAGGAGGCGGCACAAAAAGCTCCAAAGCTACCTGCCAGATGCGGCTTCAAAGCGAGCAGCTGCCAAGCCACCGGAAATTGCAGACAAGCCTGCCACCACCACGGCAACCTCACAAGATGGTCAAGTGAGGCGATACGCAAATTTTTGGTACAGTCCTCTTGGGCGCCGTGCGTTGCTGCTACAACCAGTGCAGGCCACAGCTTTCCCCTGGCAACAGCGGCGGTGATGGGCCATTTCTTGAAAGAAGATTAGAGAAAGCTGCCCACGGCAGCAGTGCATAAAAACGTGTTTTAGTCAGAGCTTGAAGTGTGCTTCGAAGGGTGGGCCCTAGGTGGAACCGCATCTTCAAGAAACCTGACCCTGTCCCACTACATCTGGAAAAAATCCCCTGTCCCATAACTGCAATTGAGGCCTTTGCCTTTGCACCCTGACTGCGGGGGTCCAAGACACCCAATCCAGGGTCGTGCGCCTTTTTTGTCTGGTCTGCCCGTCTGCCCGTTTTCCGCCACCCGTTCGGCCGGGGCGCTCGGGTGAGACCCCTTTCCTCCACGTCCTTGCTCACCTTTTCTTCACACATCTCATCCGTCCATCTGAGTTGCTTAACTCATTCTCACTCACCTTTCCTTCACACATCTCATCCGTCCATCTGAGTTGCTTAACTCATTCTCACTCACCTTTCCTTCACACATCACGCGTCCATCTGACTGCTTTATCTTTTTTTCCTCCTGACCCATTCATTGCAATCAAATTGAAATCCGCGTCCTCAGTTGCTACGGGGCAATCGCCCGTCACGTGCTGGATTGAAGCTTCAGGTTGACCCCTCTGACATATCTCTCCCGGTGGATATTGAACCCATTTTGAGACTGGGCTTGTAGCATTGGAGAAGACTCTAGCGGAACAAAAAAAACACATGTCAATTTCTTCCAACAAGTACAATATGGGCCAAATGAAGATGGGAAGTTAGTAGAGAGGAAAGGAGGTGGAAGTCGGATCAGGAAAGAAAATGGTGTGAGGAAGCGCTTGTAATGCATACATCGTAGGGATGATTGACACCAGTTGTGTGTGTGTGTGCGTGTAACAACGTTGTTTGTAACAAGCTGCTTCAGAGGTGAGCTAAGGCAGCGTGACCTTAGCACGCTACTCAATTATCCCACAGCAGATGCATGAGCGCGCTGTCATTGTTCTCCAAGGAACAGTTGGCCCCAAAGGATGCAGAGTAGCGCAGTGGCCCCGTACCCGGCCACTGGTCCTGATACCATTCTCTGAACTCAGAGAGTAACTGAACTAGGTAGGGCAGCTGCGAGAAGAACGCGCAAAGCAGGCAAGAAACACCAACCAAGAGAGAAAATCACAAGGACCCGCAAAGAGATATGGTGCAGGTCTGTGCAGGAGGTCGTCAATGTGGTGCGCCGGTTCCAAGGCTTGACTGGACTGTAAACTAGACGACGGTTGGCCCGAGAGCGAAAAAGAGGTTTTCAAGCAGCTCTGAGTATGGTAGTCGTAAAAAATAGTCGGTGAATGGTTGGTGAATTTTATATGAGCTATGGAGGGATAGTTGTGAAAAGTAAGATTGATTAAGAAGAGGATACATGTGACAACCCATGCATATGCACTGTGCTGCTTGGTAAAGGGCATCATATGACACGTGTCTTGCAACCACAGAGAGACATAGATAGAGAGAAAGGGAGAGAGAGAGGGAGAGAGAGAAAGAGGGAGAGAGAGAGAGAGAGAGAGGGAGAAATAAAGGGAGATAGAAAGAAAACATGAAAAATTATGTGAGCAACAAAAGTGCACAGGAGGCTCGGTACCATGATGCTGCGAATGACATGTGTTATCTCATTTTACTATGGCCGGCGCATACCCAACAGAGCGCATTAGCCCATCACCTCTGTTGTCATATTCTGATGATAGCCCGAGCTATCGCCAGAACGTTGGCCTCAAGTTATGCGTATCTGTGTCCCCCACCACCGGCCAACGTGGTGCCAGCCGCGTTGGAGCAAGCTGTTAGGTAAGGACAAGCAGAAAGAGACAGCATGAAAAATGCAACGCGAGAACATGCCGATGGCAAGTAAATGATGTATATGGCACATTCTTCCCAATGAAACTTACTTGCGCAGACGCCATCAAGTCGAAACAAACTCATGTTTCAGCAGGAATGTTGCCAATGACGTTGTGAAGTGAGCTGATGAAGTGAATGACACTTTATTATAGAAAATTTCACAAAGGTATACGGAAAAAGCTCGGCACCACTCGATCTATATGTGACTTTGTTATGGACATTTGTACGAAAGTACACAGAAAAGCTCGGTACCATGATGCTTTGAAATCGCAGTGAAACGTTGTGGCTCAGAAGTGCTAACCTTAGTGCATAGCACAGCGCTGGACACATTCCAGTAATTTGATTTACTTCAAGACCAAAAACATCCATCAAAAACCCAGGCCGGTACCAAACTGGCGCAAGAGTCACCTCAGAAATTTCAGATTGCACGATCATGCATAGTTGTTCACTCGTACCAAGATGAGATCGCCTGTCATCGAGTTGGATCACACACACACAGACAACACTTTTCAACTTTTGAACTGCTGGTTGCACTAATGAGTTCACATGTTCGTCACGGACACTGATCTTGCAGGTTCGCCACGAACAGTGACGAACAGTGGTGCAAATTAGTTTCTGTCCGCCGCACTGAGTTCCATGTGCCACTCGGTACGCAAACCTTCCAGTCTCCACAAAGCCTCCAAGACATAGGGGCGATTGTGCCAAGGGCGCAAGGAAGGTCTTTTCTCAAGCAGCAACTGGACGGCATCCTCTGCAGAGTAGTTGTAACCCACGACGAGCCAAGGACATAAAACCCCAGCGCTTCGATTGATGCCTCCAAAGCAATGGAAGAGCACGTGCATGGATTCGCCCCTGGTCACTGCCAGCATGGATTGTTTCCAGAGTTGGCCACAGACAATTTTCCACTGTTCCAAACAAGAAGCTACCAAGTCAGGGATTTGTTCATCCCAACGGTGCGGCGGCGTCAATGTCGTGTCCTCCAACTGACACTTGATGTGAAAGACTTTTTCTTGCTGGAAATACTGCGTCCAATCCTTCGGGGCGCCTTGAATCTTCATTTCATTTGCGCACATGGTCACGACCACGGTGACCTTCACCAACAGAGTCTTCAAAATGTCTTCCAAGCTACACGCCGCTTTGATGCTTCCAAGCAACACCGACGCTCGAATCCCACAGGACTCCATGATTCAACTAAACACAAATCGATCCTTGCAGTCACATGTCACCTCAACAGGAAACAGATATCAACTTTCAATGCAGCCGTTCCATATCCACGGACAGCCCCCACAGAATATAGAACAATCACCAAAGGCAATCTCTAAAGAATGAATGCAAGACAATATCCACGGAAGGAAAATGTCGACGACATTGCTTTGAATCATTTCTGCGTCGACTTGGGGCTCCGACCAAACGATTCGCTCCAACGTCCAGTTGAATGCCGCTCGCACAGAGAACGCAGTGGCAAAAACTCCATGCTTGAATCCCACGGGACTCTATGATCCAACTAAACACAAATCAATCCTCGCAGTCACATACCACCTCAACAGAAAACAGAAATCAATTTTCAATGCAACCATTCCATGTCCACGGACAGTCCCTACAGAACATGGAACAATCACAAAACACAATCTCCAAAGAATGAACGCAATACCATATCCACAGAAGAAAGATGTCGACAATATTGTTTTGAATGCATCTCTGCATCCGCTCCAAAATCGCAATTTTAACTCAGTTTTTGACGTCCAACGTCCATTTCCGAAAGGGTTGCGACCGACACCTCAAAATCGCAATATTTTACCTCAGTTTTTGACGTCCAACGTCCATTTCCGAAAGGGTTGCATGCAGGGGGCACCTCAAAATCGCAATTTTACGTCAGTCCTTGACGGTCAACATCCATTTCGTGCGAAAGGGTTGCGGCGGACTAACTAAAATCACATTTTTTACCTCAGTTCTTGACGTTCAACGTCCATTTCGTGCGAAAGGGTTGCGGCGGACACCTCAAAATCGCAATTTTACCTAGGTTTTGGACGTCCGATGTGCACGAAATGCTGCGTCTGCGTTTCGTGGCGCTCCGGCGGCACCGCCCCCGCCTTACGAGAGAGGTAGAAAGAAGAGCGAGAGAAAGAAAGGAAGAGAGAAAGAAGATCTGCAGATGTGAAGGTGCGAGGAAGTAGATCTGCAGATGTGAAGGTGTGAAGATGTAGATCTGCAGATGTGAAGGTGTGAAGATATAGATCAGCAGATGTGAAGGTGTGAAGATGTAGATCTGCAGATGTGAAGGTGTGAAGATGTAGATCTGCAGATGTGAAGGCGTGAAGATGTAGATCAGCAGATGTGAGGGTGTGAGGATGTAGATCTGCAGATGTGAAGGTGTGAAGATGTAGATCTGCAGATGTGAAGGTGTGACGATGTAGATCTGCAGATGTGAAAGTGTGAGGATGTAGATCTGCAGATGTGAAGGTGTGAAGATGTAGATCTGCAGATGTGAAAGTGTGAGGATGTAGATCTGCAGATGTGAAGGTGTGAAGATGTAGATCTGCAGATGTGAAGGTGTGACGATGTAGATCTGCAGATGTGAAAGTGTGAAGATGTAGATTGTAGATCTGCAGATGTGAAGGTGTG